CCTGCCGACTTAAAGGCATCCAGTTCTTCCAAGTGACCATCTCAGGGTCTACGCATGGTAGTCTGGTGCCTTGCTGCTGCCTCTCTACAACCCCAGTGAGAGATTTGTCGTGCCCCTCACTTAGGAACACTGCGGCAAAGAACTCGTTGAGGAGTTCAGCCTTGTCCCCTCTGTCCGTCACCAATTGTTTCTGCCCATTTAGCAGGGGTCCTATTCCTCCCTGGGCCTTCCTTTTACTCCCAATATATCTAAAAAACAATTTCTTGTTGTCTTTTACTTGGGTTGCCATCCTCAGCTCCATGGCAGCTTGGTGAACATGGTGGATGAGGCTTTCTTCAGACAGCTAGTGGAAGTTTCCCAATCACAGGTCCTGGTTCTTATGGGGGACTTCAATCACCCTGACATTTGCTGGGAGGGCAATAGAGCTGTGGTGCAGGCAATCCAGGAAGTTTTTGGGGGCAATACAGAGAGTACTGGGGAAAATTTCCTGGTGCAAGTGCTGGAGTGGCCAACTAGAGGCAATGCTCTTCTTGACCTGCTACTTACAAACAAGGAAGAATTGGTGGGGAATGTAGTAGTAGATGGCAACTTGGGCAGCAGTGACCACGAGATGATTGAATTCAGGATCCTGAGGAAAGGAAGGACAGAGAGCAGCAGAGTAAGGATCCTGGACTTCAGAAAAGCAAATTTCAACTCACTCAGGGAACTCATGGGTAGGATCCCCTGGGAAGCCAGTCAGAGGGGGAGAGGAGTCCAGGATAGCTAGCTGAACTTGAAATAAACCTTACTGAGACTGCAGGAACAAACAATCCCAATGTGCGGGAAGACTAGCAAGACTTGGCAGAAGACCAGCTGGGCTTAGCAGGGAACTCCTCAGTAAACTAAATCACAAAAAGGAAGCTTATAAGAAGTGAAAACTTGGACAAATAACTAGGGAAAAATATAAGAGCATTGCTTGGGCATGCAGGGATGAAGTCAGGAAGGCCAAAGTGCAACTGGAGTTGCAGTTAGCAAGGGATGTGAAGGGGAACAAGAAGGGTTTCTACAAGTATGTCAGTAACAAGAGGAGGATCAGGGAAAGTGTTAATCCCTTACTGAATGGGGAGGCAACCTTGTAACAGAGGATGCAGAAAAGGCTGAAGTGCTCAATGCCTTTTTTCTCTCAGTCTTCACAGGCAAGGTCAGCTCCCAGACTGCTGTACTGGGCAGCACAGTTTGGGGAGTAGGTGAACAGCCAACAGTGGTGACAAAACAGGTTAGGACTATGTAGAAAAGCTGGCCATGTAGCAATGATGCACCTGAGGGTGCTGAGGGAGCTGGCTGATGTGATGTGACTGCAGAGCCACTGGCCATCATCTTTGAAAACTCATGGCGATCAGAAGAGATCTCAGATGATTGGAAGAGGGCAAACATAGTGTCCATATTTAAGAAAGGAAAGAAGGAGGATCTAGGGAACTACAGACCAGTCAGCCTCACCTCAGTCCTTGGAAAAAATCAAGGAGCAGATCCTTAAGGAATCCATTTCTAAGCACTTGGGAGAGAAGAAGGTGATTAGGAACAGTCAGCATGGATTTACTGGGGCAAGTCATGTCTAACCAACCTGATTGCCTTCTATGATGAGATGACTAGCTCTGTGGATGCGGAGAGATGGATGGATGTGGTGTGCCTTGATTTTAGCAAGGCTTTTGATACAGTCTGTGACAGAGGGCCATCCCCAGGGCCAATCACAGTACTGGCCTGCCCACCTGTCCAGGGCAGTCTGCCCAACTAACTCTCCTGCCATGCCTTTGTTATATAATAAATAGATGTTTCTAAGTGGGAGGCTGTCCATTTAATGCCCTGATGCCAATTATGCTATACACAGCTCCAACCTCCTCTTTACCATGTCCCATGCCTCGCAGAGTGCACCCAAAGTACTCCTAGCTCTTCCAACCCCATTGCTAGGCTTCACTAGGCCACTGGCCCAAACTATCCACTATTACTCTCCCAGCTCCATTGCTGAGCCACACTCAGCCTCAGGCATCTGGATACTTACGCTGGCCGCATGCCCCTTCACTGGGGCCTCTACTCCCACTCTGGGCTCTATGCCTCTCAACAGGCGTCTAGACCCTCACACTCTACCCCTCACTGGGATCACTACTCTACCCCCTCACTTGGGCTGCAGGGTCTTACACTCCTTAGGCCTCAGGTGTTTCTACAGACATGCCTGGACCTCACTCTCAGTCTTTGGCCCACTCAGGCCTCAGGTGTCTGATGATGTGCCTGGACCTCATTCCCCTTCAGGCCTCTCATTAGGTCTCACTCATTCAGGCCTTGGGCCCTCCGGGCCTCCATGATCTTGCCCAAGCCTGATGCTTTTCTGTTAGGGTGTGCTCCCTTAGCCTTTCCCCTCCATGGGGTACCCACAAGGCAGCAGGGGCTGAGGCTTTCTGGCACTCCATACTTGCCGTTCACTAGTGAGGCACTAGTGTGGCATTTCCTGAGGGTTGCCCCACCACCGGCAGCCCCACCACACCATCCAATCCCAGCAGGGTGTATTTTAGGTCATTCCCCAGGATGAGGAACCTCCTCCACCCCCGTAGGTTTTGCCCTTTACCTGCAGGTGTACCTGAGAGCAGCAGAACTCAGGCTGATGATGTTGCCACAGTGGCATCCCTGCAACAACTGCTGGCTTTGTCTCTCAGGACCTGCTCTTATGCTGAGACTCCACAGCCCAGCTCCAATGAGGTGGCCTGCTGGCTGTCATGTTACCGCCTGATTAGTTCTCCAATCATTTTCAGGCTGCCTCGCAGCCTGCTTAGGCCCCTAAGTGGTAGGCACCAAAGGTGCCCTGCCACATGGTCTCCCACTACATTCTTTCAGGCAAGCTAAGGAAGTATGGGCTGTAAGAAGGACAGAAAACTGCCTGGAGCATTGGGCTCAGAGAGCAGTAATCAATGGCTCCATGTCTAGTTGGCAACTGGTATTAAGTGGAGTGCCACAGGAGTTAGTCCTGAGGCTGGTTCAATGCCTTCATCAACTACCTGGAAGATGGCATAGAGTGCACCCTCAGCAAATCTGCAAATGACACAAAACTGTGGGTAGTAGATACACTGGAGGGTAGGGCTAGGATTCAGAGTGACCTAGACAAATTGGAGGATTGAGCCAAAAAGAATCTCATGAGGTTCGACAAAAACAAATGCAAAGCTCTGCACTTAGGATGGAACAATCTCATGCATTAGGTGGCTCACTGGCTGTGCAGCAGCTCTGTAGAAAAGGACCTGGGGTTTATAATGGACAGTAAGCTGAATATGAGCCAGCAGTGTGCCCTTGTTGCCAAGAAGGCTAATGGCATCCGGGACTGCATTGGTAGGAGTGTTGCCAGTAGTTCAAGGGAAGTGATTCTTCCCCTCTCTTCAGCACTGGTGAAACCACATCTGGAGTACTGTGTTCAGTTTTGGGCACCCCACTACAGAAAGGATGTGGACAAATTAGAGAGAGTCCAACAAAAATGGAAGGCAACAAAAATGGTGAGGGGGCTGGGGGACAGGACTTATGAAGAGAGGCTGAGGGAACTGGGCTTATTTAGTCTAGAGAAGACCAAGAAGGAATTTAATAGCAGCCTGCAACTACCTGTAGGGGGTTTCAAAAGAGGATGGAGCTAGACTGTGCTCAATGGTGACAGATGACAGAAGAAGGAGCAACAGTCTGAAGTTGCAGCAAGGTAAGTTTATGTTAGATATTAGAAAGAATTTTATCCCTAGGAGGGTAGTAAAACACTGGAACAGGTTACCCAGAAAGGTGGTGGAAACTCCATCCTCATCGAGGTTTTCAAGACTGGGCTAGATAAAGCTTTGGCTGGGATGATCTAGTTGGGGCTGGTCATGCTTTGAGCAGGGGTTTGGACTAGATGACCTCCTGAGGTCCCTTCCAACCCTCACTTTCCATAATTCTATGATGTAGTCCAGGAAATGATCATTGGACACAGAATGGTTTTATTTTGAAATTGCCATTAGTTTCTGAATCTCTCATGCATGTGAGCTTTCCTTGTTCTATGAACTTATCAAAATTAATAAATATCCTTTGTCCAACATATTCCCATAATAGCCCGCTATCTTCTGTTAGTGCACATATATTTTCTGGTTTATATTTATTAGTGATGCAAATTAGTATGAAACTATCTAAACATTTAGGATCCATTCCTGTGAGATGCTGAGCTGTGTTACTGTCACTGACGTCACAAGATTGAGATCTTGATTATTCTTACATGAATAATGTATTAACCATTATTTTGTGTTTGAATTGTTCTCACCTATATGTTGTGTTACTGATATCTATTCATTTATAAAAAATGTTCCAGTTATCATTAGGGTATAAATACCATGTAGACTAACCATTCTTCCTCATTCTTGTCTCTGCTTCTGCAGGCATTGAACCTGGATCTGTTGTAATAACAGACACTGCACTGGATTCATTTTTCAAGCCTCAGTTTGAGCAGGTAATACTGGATAATGTAGTTGTACGAAGCACTGAACTTGATAAGGACCTTGCTGAGGAACTACTGAACTGCAGCAAAGAGATCCATGACTTCCCAACGATGACTGGTCATACAATGTGCACCTATGACTTTTATGAGGGTGAGGATGAACTATACCTTTCTATTCATTTTTTGTTTTTCAGTCATAAGGCCAAATCCTGTTATCCTTGCTGAAGCAAAAATCACCAACCCAGTCAGCTGGAGATTTCCCTAAGTATGAAGTAAAAAGTGAGGAGAGATGAGGATTTGACTTATCATATGTTTTAGGGTTTGTCTGCAGGTCAGAAAAGGAACTACTTTTATAACACATAATATCAATTAAGAGAATCATACCATAATTGGCCTCTGTTGCATCTGTCACTTAGCCAATTTTATAACAACATCGTATCTGCAAGGGAAATATTAGCGTCACCATGACAGTGAATCAAGCATTATGATTCATTCTGGACAGCATTCACTCCCTTAGGAACATACAGGAATCCCTGGATAGCGCTTCCTGCTGTCTCTCAGCCCTACTGCACCACAAAAGCCAGCATATGCTCAGTGAACCTCTGAAAGCAACAGGCACATAACATTAAGCAGTTAAAGTAAATAGCCCCTTGTCTGTAATCTTAATATAATTTTAACAGATGGGTTCCACAATGTTACTTCCTATGACGGGATTATGTCTGCAGAATTACCAAACAGAAGAAAAACGTCAAGAAGTATATGACATTTGTGTGAGCAACCCTTAGATTTTGAGCCCTACTGTGGAACCATTTCCTTAGAAAATTAAATGTTCATCACAAAGTGGATGACACAGAATAAATGGAGAATTAATAATTCGAGAACTATTTATAACCTTTTGGAGCTGCTTGCAAATGTGGCCATCTGTGTATTGCTCAAAGCAATGTTTACTTAAATAAAAAGCCATTTGAGAGGATTAACAGGAGGAATGACAATGAAATGAAATCATTTACTCAGGTTAGTACAGCTGGAGATATACATTTTGCTTAAGAAATCCTGGTACATCTGAGAATGGGTCCCTTATTTTGGGTCCAACTCTAAAATACTAGTAACAAACAATCAGCCAAGTTTGAGAGAGAGAGAGAGAGAGAGAGATTACTTGAGCTGAGAGTTTCTTCAATAGACCCGCTTTCAAAGGGAGGTATATGTGCTCTCAGTGTAGACACTATGGATAAATTGCATCTGTTGTTACCACACACATAGTCCATCACAAACCTGAACCTTTAAAACCATAGCCATATAAACTAACTCAATACTAATCCAAATCCACTTCTTCTCTGACTTGGTCAAAAAATTAATCTAAAGTTTCAGAGGGCAAGGGGATTGGACAGAATGAATCCAGTTGGTAGTGAGCTACCACTTTTCCCCTTTGAATATTGTGCCATTTGGGAGAGTGGCAAATGAAAATGACAATCCCTCTCACCACCACCACATGATCATGGACTAGAGGAGAAAAAAACTAAGTTATGATTACAGGACCGCTGCTTCACTTTCGTATTGAGACCTGGAGGCTAAGTCAAAGGGGGATACGTGAATTTAGCTCCGTATAGCAGCTTTATACGTCTGTCACAGAGACTTTTCTGAACAATGATATGAGGACTGCTCTGAGTCTGATAGGCAGTGTTTTGAGACCTTCAGTTAAAGGCACGTACAAGGTCATAGGGGGCTAGAATGCAAAGTTTGATTGATTAGATTTACTGAACAGACAGTATGTCCGCCCTACAAACTAGTCCCCAAATGCCCCAAGCAACTAGAGTGTTTATAAAGGCATTGCTACTTCTAACTAGTAACTAAGCACCTTTTAAAAACCTAGAATGTACTGCCTAACCTAATTTGCCAAATCAGGAAGATTAAGGATCAACAAAGATAAAATGACAGACTGAGCCAAATAAAATGAGTCACCATTTAGGCCATCCTAACCTTAAGGAACCTGTTGAAGGATGGTCAGCAATTCGAGCATGGATCTCAAGGCTTCCTAATGTTATAGTCACCAGAAATTAGGTTCTTGAATGTCTCTTTCAAGACCATTACCTGCAAATGTAGGCAGCCAGCCTTGCAACTAGGCCCCTGAAGGGCAATCAGGAGGTCAGCTGGGTGGGGGTGCAGGTTATTGGGGCATCAGGTCAGGGTCTGGATCAGTGGACGAGAGATCCGAGGGATGTATTCCAGGGCACAGTCCAAAGTCAGAAGCCAGGAGAATTAAGGAGTTGGGTGCCAAGTTCCAGGGAAGATCCAAGAGCAGAGGCAGAGAAAGCCAGAGCCGAATCAGGAGCCAGGAGAACCACAGACAGCAGTGAACACAAGACTTGCCAGAGCAGGCTAAAGCTGTTGCTAAGGCATGCCTGCAGCCTGAACCTGCGGGGCACTTAGAAGTGCTCAGTGATACTCTCAGCAGCCGATCCAGTTACAGAGAACTGGGGAAGCTGCATTAGCCAGGGATCAAGGTCAGGTGAGGAAGCTCAAAGGCTCAGCCCAGCAAGGCCTGACTGGCCAGAGGCCTTGAAATTACTTACCAATGTGGGTTGAGCCTGCCCTTGGCTCCCCCAACAAGTATCCTCATGTCCTCCAAGGGATACAAGCTGCACTCAAGAACTGGCTGTTTGACAGAACATGTGGCAGTGATTTGTTTTCCTAAACTGATGGTGAAGCTCAGAGATCTGGAGCCATGTGAGCAAAGACTTGAATACTTGACAAAAAAACCTGTCTCTTTAAAGTCTTTTCCGTGTTCATTTTCTCCATTCATGAAATGGTTTGTTAAACCTTTTGTACAGCAGATGAGCAGTTTGTAGATTACCTCCACCAGATCCTCCACAGGTCTGAGTTGTCAGGTGTGCCAGGACCTCACCATGACAATTTATCCCAGTTGAGGGCCTGCAACTGTCCCTCCCACGCACCTGTTGGTCTGTCTTCTCACTTGCAGAATTTCTACGGTTCACTCCACTGCCTTATGTTATAAGACCCTAGCTTTAAAGCACAGCTGACATGGAACAAGAAATAAGTAGTTAAGTGAGCATTATACAAATGAAAATGTTGTGAGGTTTTCATTAGAATTTAAGTAAATATTTCACCATCTAGGTGAAACAATGGAATATCACAATATCACAGCTGGTTTTACTATAACTTTACTCCCCTTCCTATAAAAGTGCAAGCAGTCACAGGTTCTCTTCTTTTCAAGGTCAGGGACGATTAGATGGAGCCCTGTGCTCTTTTTCCAGTGAAAAAAAATTGGAGTACTTAAAAAGAGCTTATAATGCTGGGGTTAGAAATATTGAAATGGAGTCCACGGTATTTGCTGCCATGTGCGGACTTTGTGGTCTTAAAGGTAAGATTTGTTTTCACAGACCTTTTCTCATGTTTATTCTCTTACACCTTCACACTTCATAATTTTATCTCTATGTGGATATGGCTTGCTATGGGACTTGTACACTCTGAAGACCAAAAACATATTCCAAACATTTTTTGCTCTGAAAACTGTATTAATGCAAACTCAGTGCTTCATAAATGGGGTACCTGAAACTACTGGTTTTGAGTGCAGGGCAAAGAAAAATATTAACTGTGTCTTGGCTAAAAACAAAATTTCACTCCTGCCAGCTCTGAACAGTTTCTTAGCTATGCCAGTGTCCCTGGTTTTCTTTTACTGACTGCAAAGGCCATTTGTCTCCTTCCACTATAGTATACATTATATTTTTTGTTCAATTTTCCACCTAATTCCTGCCACTTAAACTCCTAAGGAGCTCTAGACAGCTTAAAGCTGATCCCCTTTGGCAGAACCCCAAAAGGAGAACAACCGTGTCACAGCCTCAGCTGCTCTCCTGATGGTAAATGCCCTCACTGGTACAGTTACTCCTCTAGGTTCATGGGTTCAGTTTATATACTTTCACAGGGAAGTTAAATGAGTCCTCATTTAAAAGAAAAACAGTGACCCTGCATTACCCATATGTGCTATCCTTTACTGAAGAAAATACTTTGCATTTATGGTTTAGCAAATTATTTAAAGTGTAACATCTATTCTGTTCCAGCTGCTGTTGTCTGTGTGACACTCCTCAACCGACTTGAAGGTGACCAAATCACTGTTCCCCATGAAGTTCTATTAGAATATCAACGACGCCCACAGCAGCTGATCTCAATCTTTATCAAGAAGCGACTTGGATTATATAACCAAAATAAATTATTGGATAATGCATTTTTCCTCAGCAACTAAGAAAAAATAGATTCTGTCAATACATAAAATGAATGTCTTGCATTGCACACAAGCGTGTGTGTGCACACATGTGTGTGTGTGTGTGTGTGTGTGTGTGTGTAGGCAGACATAAATATAGTACTTATAGGCCCCTACTATATGTTACATATATTACACAATGAACTGGTTAATTGTGCAATAAATTTAGACCAGCCACATGAACAAAGACAGACCAGCCACAAATGCAAAGTAATTATCACACAGTTCACTGGTTAACTGCATTAAAAATTTAGACCAGCCACACATGCAAAATAATTATTGCATGATAAAAATGACTATCCAGCTATAAAAAGAGCCAACCGGCTATAAAATTAGTGCTTGAAAATGTATTACAACTCTATAGCTGGCTTCTATAAAGCTTTAATTTAAACATGTAGCAGGGCCCTTAGTCATATAAAAATGAAACTCTATTTATAATGAAGCTAAATGAATCTCCCAAATTGTCTCAGTTCATTATTCACTGTATCCTTTAAGTCTAGTTGTAATGTACATTTCTGAATACAATAAATGCATACATATACATATAAGATTAATGTCTTTGATATAAGCATACACTTTCCATATCAGATCCTTCTTCAGGTATGTCCCACTCACCCACTGAATCAGAATTATAAATAAGAATTAGTGCACCTTTGAAGGCAGCCAATGACTTTTTTAAAGTAATATTTGGTATTGAATGTCAATCTAAAATTGTTCAAAGTTTAAAGACATGAGATATCATTGTATGACCATGCCTTTACTATGTATAAATGCTCCTGGTTGAATATAGAACATCTGCCATTGGTTTTCATAGTTAAGAATTTCAGTAAATGCAGGAGATGAGTACATCATACATTTCTGAGTGAGAAAAAGAACAGATATCATCAGTCCAAATTTAATTTAACTCTAAATACCTGACATCTATAGTGTCCTCTGAACTTGCTTGATAATCAGCATGTAGCAATACAAGTCATGCTCTTTAAGTGTCTGTAAGTTGAACATGACTCTTTGGTGTTTGCTTTCTTATTTTATTAATGAAAGGGTTAACCTAGAGTCTGCTGACATCAGTTCCCATTGACTTCATGATTCAAATTCTTGTTTGCAAAATTCACTGTTTGCAAACGAATCCTGAGAACTCAGTAATCTTGTAACAGTAATTTATAGCATATAATGGTTATTAAATTTTATAGGTTTAGCACATTAAAGGGAGAAAAGGTGCCATTAAAGGGATAAATTAATATACTGTTTCCATTTAAGAAAGCCTGCAAATATAATTAGAAAGGAGTGTTACCAGATTTTTCATAGGTGATCCTAAAGCCTCATTTGCCTTGCTGATGTTCCTGAAATCATTTTCAGAAAATATTACTTCAACAACTGCAAGTCTAAAAAATAACACTTTTAAAATCCTATATAATTAATTTAAAGCCTGATTCTCCTCTCACCTATGCTGATTTTATACTGTCTTCACTGTAATTATTCCTGTTTTAATAATCAGGCATGAGAAGGGAATCTTAGTGAAGCTATTTTTCCTGGGCGGAGCACTATGCTAGAGACATCACACTGTTTCCAGTCCCTGACCTAGCTCTGAAAGGTAACTCAAATATCTCTGCACAGCACTGCACTAGAGCATACAGATATACCCTTAGGCATCTGGCCCACAGAGTGGATTCTGCTGTCCTAAATGATGTGCCTAGGTTCCTATACAATGCATGGAATGCATAAAAGCCAGAATGCTGAGTGAAGAACAACGGAAGAGAGATGCAACAGGAAATGCTAGGGACAGGCGTGTTTCTTAACTCTCCCCATTAAGCAAACTTACTAGACCAAGTGGCTCAACCAAAAGAGGCAGAGGACTGCCTAGTGTGGAGGTACTTTTCAGGCCAGGTGTGAATTAACTGATTGGTTATCACCAAACAGTTCTTATTGTCAGCAAGGATATTGCTGTGTTTGTATATATGTTATTTCTGTATATTTTATATGCTTTGCTCCAAGTAGAATGTGTTACTTCAATAAAGCTTTAATTAAAATGAATATCAGCTGTGGCAATGGGTGTGGGGAAACGGACACCTGTCCAGTAGCAGCTGGATTCTGACAGCCAATTTACCCCATATAGGCCACAAACAGTCATTTCATAGTTTCTAATACTAGTAACAGACTGAATTCAAACTGGAAACTGAAAGACTGGTTTTATATCCCTTATCAATACTCTGAATTCACCAGTCCCCGTTCAAAAAAAATATTACCAGTAAATCAAGTCTTTAATTGCTACGGACGTTTTGAACTGAGGATTGCAAGTGAGATCAATGGCACTCGATGGAACCAGTCAGAATATGGACTATCACTATACCAATTTATAAACAATTTGATCTGTGATATCTTTACCTTAATTCTGCTCCAATTGAAGCAGGGGTTTAAGACTGCTAAATGTACCTTACTGGGTAGAGTGGTGATTCTCAACTAGGGTGTTATGGCATGCTGGGCTGCCCTGAGATCTTTTCAAGGATGCCTCAAGGTGCCATACAATGTTGGCTCTGTTAGGTTTGCAAAAATGATTCACAATATAAACCCAGAGATTTAAAATAGAAATCCGTAATTGTGGTCTGAGTTCTTTGCAACAGAAAAATCACTCTATTATTTTCCTGCAGGCATACAAAGTGTGAAAACTAAAAGCTAGCATTTTCCAAAGGGTGCCTTGATTCTAAAAAGATTGAGAACCACATGTGTGAGGTTATGGGACATGAGCTAACATCCTCTAGGACCAGAAATGAGACCAGTAAAAACAGTTTATTGCTTGTGACTTAACTTGTATAAACTAGAAGTTAAACTTAGTTCTGTGAGGGTTAAAGATTACTGAAATGAGTTAATGTGCTACTTACCTAATACTGTATTTTTTTACAGTAATCATTTACAACTCTTTTAGCTAAACATATGCAACAGTTTAGAGTCAGCTAGGGAACTTTGTTGTGCTGCAGCATACAGAATCTTTGGCTTGATTATTAATTTTGCCAACAGTGGAGAAATTTTAATTTTTCAGGCTAACAAAAGCATTGTTTTGCTTATTTTTCTTTCATCTTAATGATAAGAGAACAATGATTTCTTTGTGGCACATGTAAAATTTGATGCTCTTTAATGCTTTAGATTGTACAGTTAATTGTTTATCGAGTTCAAAAGCCATGTCATTGGTAAGTTCATTTTCAAAATGTTAATCATTACTGTAAAGGAAAGGATCAGTTTTGGAAAGGATCATTATAAATTGCATCACAATCATTTACACTTCTTTTCCTGTAAGTGGTAGTAACATTAGAAAATGTACATGAGCATATTTAGAATATGCTGCCAAATGGAAATCGTCCCTGTTGGATACTTGACCTTTAATCATTGATTAGCATTTAAGCTGCATTCTGACTGGCTATTTTATTTTTTATTTGTAGAAGTACATTACATTTTAAAATTAAAAGAGTTTATTTGTTAAGTTGTTCTTTGATTTAAGAGACAGATTTCTGTCAGTCAAACCATAACAAGTCAAAAATACTATAGGAAGATATTACAAACTTGAAACTACTATCACCTCCTAGAAAAAGGACTATTCTGGATCTTTTTTTTCTTTACGCACCTCGTACTTCTGATCAGGAGACAACATGAATTCCACGCCTTTTATTACCTAGGTGCAAAAGGAGAGAGGGAGTTGGCGCTGTTAGTGAGAGCATCAGTATTAGGATTAGTTGGAAAGCATACACGTTGCCCTCATTTTATGCTGTACACGCATTCCTGGAAAATGGCACATAACTTGAAATCGCATAAAGGGAATGCACTTTACAATGTAACGAATAGGGATGTATTCCAAGACCTTGACTGTACTGACCCCCAGACCCATTTCTACCACTTTTACAAGAGAATTTTGGTTCTCACCAGCAGCAGACAGTACACACAAGCACAGGGTGGTGGTGAATGTTACCATAATGGGGATGGCAACTACAGAAACATGGCTCACAGACAACGAGCAAGGAGCACAGATCCACACAGGAGACTATTTTGGTGCGTGTCACTCCCACAATGCACCACAGAAGGCAGCTGACTGTGGGCTTCTACCACACCGATTGCATATGAGTGAATTTACCTTGCATATAATGAATTTTTGGTATAAAAAGGGTCATCACATAAGAGCAAATTTGCCCACATAAAGCAAAGAAAACTGGTATTTTATTTCCTGTGAAAAAAATGTTCAGGTAAAGAAGCATTTAATGTGCAACAGGATTTCACAGAATGTTTCAATTTTTCACCCAGCTCCCCAAAACTGAAAATTCTGTAGATTCTTTTTTTTTTTCATTTTTGAGAAAAACAATCACAGAATCATATAAAAGCATCATAGGTTTGGAAAAGACCTCAAGGGATATCTGCTCCAATCCTCAGCACCTAAACCTTCTCAGATAGATACCTATCCAGCCTTTTCTTGAAAACTTCCAATGAAGGCCATTCCATAGACTCCCTATGTACTTTTATGGAAAATTTTCTAGGAAATGTTCTTGAGAAAATGTACATTTATAATAAAAAATGTGGTGTTGATTGATTCTAATTAACATCTCCAAGGAGCAGGGTTGAGGGAAGTGATATAGCCCCATCTCCTTCCAAACTGAAGGTGTTGGGGAAGGGTATACTATGCAAATGTTACAACATAAAGGAACTGCTGCTTCAGTATATACTCCATGAGGTGCACCTGTAAGCTAACCTTCTCTTTGTTCACTGCACAAAAAATGTCAGGCATCATTGTCATGTTCCTTCCATGTTTTACCCTCATTCTGAAGTAGGTTCGAAATCCACGCTGCAGCCTCAAATATAAAATACGAATCACTGAGCCAAACTGTCTGGTGCTGTAACTTAGCACAGATGTGCTCCAATGGACTGCAGTGGAGTTTCATCCATTTATTTCAAAAGGGACCAAATTATCAGAGGTATAAGAGCAATAGAAACTTAAGTATAACAGAATGTTGCCATAG